AGAAGATTTAAAAAATCCTAAATTACAGGAAAAAATTAAGAGAATATATAATAATATCTTTACTGAGATTTGTAATGAACATTCTAATGCTTTTTGGGATAGGAAAAAGCATGTAATTAGTCTTCCATATGAAGATGATTTTGATGAAAAAACAATGATTAAGACAAAGGCAAGACCTTGCTAAATGAATTCTGAATATTTGGAATTATGTAAAAAAGAGATGAATATGTTATTAGAAAAAGGATTGATTAAAAAGTCAAATTCTCCATGGTCATGTACTGGTTTTTATGTCAATAAACATAGTAAAATAGAAAGAGGAAGACCAAGGTTAGTAATAAATTATAAACCTCTTAATAAAGTATTAAAATGAATTAGACACCCAATCCCAAATAAAAAAGATTTATTGGATAGATTATATGATGCATTAATATTTTCTAAGTTTGATTTAAAATCTGGATATTGGCAAATTCAAATTGATGAGTCAGATCCATATAAAACTGCTTTTAATGTTCCAGTTGGTCACTTTGAATGGAAAGTGATGCTATTTAGATTAAAGAATGCACCTTCTGAATTTCAAAAAATCATGAATGATATTTTTATTCCTTATAGTGAATTTATCATTGTATATATTGATGATATATTAATATTTTCTAAGGATATACAATCACATTTTGATCATTTAAATATATTTCAGAAATTAATAAAACAGAATGGATTTGTTATATCTCAATCAAAAATATCATTGTTTCAAACAAATGTTAGATTTTTAGGACACAATATTGAGAAGGGAAAAATAATTCCTATTGATAGAAGTATTGAGTTTGCTTCTAAATTCCCAAATGAAATTTTAGGAAAAACTCAATTGCAAAGATTTTTAGGAAGTTTGAATTATATTCTAACTTATTATAAAAATTTAGCATATGATACTGCTATTTTATATGATAGATTAAAAAAGAATCCAAAGCCTTGGACAGAGGAGCATACTAAGGCTGTGCAAAAGATAAAAAGTAAAGTAAAAATACTACCATGTCTAGTTTTGGCGAATCCCAAGTGGGAAAAGATAGTAGAAACTGATGCTTCGGATATAGCATATGTTGGAATACTCAAACAAGTATGTCCGGATGATGAAAAAGAACAATTAGTAAGATATTATTCAAGAAAATGGACCCAAAGTCAAAAGAATTATGCTATAGTTGCTAAGGAAATCCTTGCGATAGTTCAATATATTTTAAAATTTCAAGATGATTTATATAATCAGAAGTTTACGATTAAGACAGATTGTCAATCATCAAAATATATGTTCAATAAGGATTTTAAACATGATATTTCTAAGTAAATGTTTGCTAGATGGCAAGCTAATTTAGTCCCTTTTGATTTTGATATTGTATACAAGAAAGGAAAAGATAATCATCTTCCTGATTTTTTATCACGTGAATATTTGCAGGATGGAATGGAATAATTATCGATACGTTACACCTCGAACTACACTTCATCATACCTATAATAATATTATAACCGAATATAATTTGTTAAAAGCAGATTATTATTATAAGAGCAATCGGCTAAATCATTATATGAGATTACGAAGAATGTTAAATGAAAGGGAGCTGGAATTTTTCCAACAATGGAATGATATAAATGATCTTGAATATATTAATGTTATGATCATTATGTTCTCTGAGAGATTAGCTCAGACAACAGAATTTCTATAACATTGTGAATTACAACTATCAGTTATAACTTTATAAATTTTGCAGGGATTATATATCCACCTGATCCTGGACGAAGCAGCCCTTATAGATGTCGTGGAGGACGAGGAATAAATCCTGTTATACAGCATGGAAATAAAAAGCTTATAACTACCGATTTTTCAAAATCCCAAGAGGAATCCTCTTCATCAAATGCTAAATTAGTTCAAATAATGGACTTTTATATAAGCAGATTATGGATCAAATCCAAGAACAGCAAGGTGTTACCTTTGCTGCCAAAGTAAGTGAAAGTGACCAGGATGATATCAGGTCATATGAAAAAGGATCCACAAAAGAAGTAATATATCTTCTTGAAAACACTGATATTCAGTGGAAAGATAATCCATGGATAATATTCTGAAGATATCTATCCGAAAAGGTGATGATACCGGGTGAGTCATACAAACCCCGAAATTATTATGAAAATATTCTCAAACAGACATGTGAAATAACACATTTTCAGTCTAATCAGACTACTACTGAAGTATATGACTTTTCAAAAAAATTATTAAAAAAATCCTATCTTTTGAAGAATGGGGAATTTCAACCCTTTCTGAAAGGGAAGTACGTAATAACCCTACTTCTCCTCCTTTGAAATTTACTTACTGGGATTATATCCAAAGTTTTTATAAAACCTTTTATTATGAAAACCCTCGGAAAAAGCATATTTGGTTCATTAAAATATGTTCCAATGTATATTCCTCACCTATACCTAATTGGTTTATTCAATGGTGGGCATTATATGGTCCAACGACAAAAATTTTGCCAGAAAACTTTTCAAGGTTATATTATCAGTGGTTAAAAAATTTTCCCCTATCATTGATAAACTTCAACACAGTCATATCTGTGCCCCTGGAAAAATTACTTTGTTATACTTTTTTATTCAATTCTCAATCCCATTGATTTATAAATGGGTTCCAGAGTTCGGATTTAATGAGTTCCAAATTCTATGTCTTTATAAGATATGTTACACCAAATTCTGGGACAAATTGACAAAAATAAATCCCAATACTAAAAAATTAGAAGGCCAAGATTTGCTGGATGAAATAACTCAGAAAATAGAAGAATATATCCAGGAAAAAGGACAGCTCAAAGAAAATCAAGATGAAGAAAATCCGTTCAAGCACATTACAAAAAGAATTCAACTTCAGCAAGGTGCGATAAACAAGGATGAAAATATCAGCTTACATAAAGGAAGTCAAAGCAGGTTTGATAAGAAATCTAAAAAATCTTGAGAACGATAATGTCTCAGAGAAATCAGATGTTTTAATGAAAAGCATTACTTCAAATGAAGAAAATTCATTTGCAATATTAGCCGGCGAATCTCATGCACTAGACAATGAGGACGACCATGATGAATTTATCAACAATCTGTTATATCAGATCCAAGAGACAGCACAATCAGGAAAAGAAAAAGAAAAGCTGTGAAAAGACAAAAGCAGGAACCTCTTTTTGAAAATTAAGGCATATAGACCCCACTTGAGTCATATCTGAGAAAGACATTCACAATAAGTGAATGGATTTCAAATCCATTTGTAAAATAGAATTTATAGTTTTTGGAAATCGGGGCCTATAAATAGAGTTTAGTTGTAGAGACACCGATTTTCAGAAATCTCTTCCTTTCTCTTCTCAGTGTAAAATATTTTCAAAGTTTTAGAAGTTTGGAATAAAAAGAGCTCAGCTCCCCTGATTCCTGTAAGTATTTACTCTTACTTTCTTTTACTTGTAATGATAGGCTAACAAGTCTGATTGTTGGGATAAGATGATGTTATTACAAGGATTATCATAGTTATAATCCTGATGAAAGAAGGATAGTTAACTAGTTATGCACGATCTTGCCATGGGTAAGCGTGATTTTGTGTGGCCATGATTTTTATGAGTAGGGTTAGCCATGTTTAAAGCCGTGTGAAAGGTGTGTTAAGGGCGTTGATCCCAGTTTGCGCATATCTGTTCATGCTGACGGACTAAATCACTCTGTAATATTCCCTCTCTGGCTTGAAAAACTTAACTGGTTTCTTGTTCCTTTCCTGAGTTGTGGTATATATATATATATATATATATATATATATATATATATATATATTATGATTTATTACAGCTTTTAACACACACAGCCCCCCCCCCCCAAAAAAAAAAAAAACAGAAACAGATCAGCATAAACGAAAAAAGAGCTAGCCAAAGACCATATTTATACGCTCCTGAATTCCAAACTCATAATAAACGATATCTCTCTTAGCAGATATCAGGTAAGAGACACGTTAGAGTCGAAGAGAAACATGGGGAAAAAAAAACACACACTTTCGACCGCAAATATCTTTTGATGATATACTACATAATTAGGAAACAAGAAAATTAAAAATCCAAATGCCAATTGCAATCGGAAGACATAGGCAGAAATTGGAAACCAAAAAATTCCCATATCCCTCTATAAATATATATATACGAGTCGTCCCTTAGATTTCTTACTCATTGAAGAATTCATCATCAATTCATCAGGTATCAATAATCGTAGGCTGGAGAGAGTTGAAAGACAACAAATTTGTCAAAAACAGAAGAGAAGAGAAGAGAAAAATAAAAGAAGAAGAAGAAGAAGATATGGGGAAGAGAAAGTCGTCGAGAGCAAAGAAACTGCTGCCTAAGAAGAAGATAGAGAAAGTTGCCAAGGTTTTCAGTTGTCCCTTCTGCGGCTGCCCCGACTCTGTGGACTGCAAGATTGAGTCCGCTATTGGGATTGGGACCATCCACTGTTGGGCTTGCCGGGAGATGTTCCGAACCTCGGCCCACAGATTGACTGAGCCCATTGACATCTTCACCGAATGGTTCGATGCCTGCGTCACCGCCAATCAACCCATCTGAATCTCCTAGCCCAACCGTGAGGAGAAAATGTAGAGATGATCGAGGAAGGATTCTAGATTTTGTATGATCATTAGGGTTTTAATTTCATGTCAGGATACAAATTGTACAAAGCTTTGCCTATTAGAGAATCCTAGCAACATACGTTAGTATTCACATGACTTGCATCCTTTTTTATGGTTTGTTTTTGCATAGGAAAAGCGTAAATCAAAGAAGAGAGACACCAATATGTATATGGTGATCTCTGAAAGGTGGTGAATTGTAATTTTTTTTTTTTAATTAAGATTATCTGTTGTTTGTTTTGATGATTTGTTTTTCTTTCTCTTTTTCATTTTTTTTTCCAACAATGAAAGAAACTTAAAAGTTTAAAATACTACAGGGGAAAGTGACATTTTCAGAGCAGTTATAAATCAAAGGATTCTTTTTACCCCCTTTGACAAAGGGTCTTCAACTAGATTCAATCAAAATTGCAGCAGCTATTTCAGATGAAGGCTATTCTGTATGATGCTAAATTATGCTGTCGACTTTAGAAATACACAGACAAATCAAAAGGTGAAGTGGTCAGACGAACTTCCTAACGGTTAACGTACTCTACTCTATATTTCCTCCATTTTTACTTCATAAACCATGCTCAACAACAAAAAAAAAAAAGAAATTCATAAACCAGACACATAATTGAGAGAAACAACCATGCGAAAATTAAGCTGGCAGAAAATGCCCCGGGTCTTTTTCTTTTTACCAAAGGAAGAAATATTGAAATTCAAGCAAGGGAAAGACCAAATGCGATTGTATCACCTGAGAAGAACGTAACAGTGATATCCCATAGTGGAAGTTGCTCCGCCACTGAGAAAGAAACTGCATCACTTCGCCAATTTTGAAGCACAGTGACAGATGCAGACCAGAAGCAAACTCAATTTGACTCTATATCTTTGATCAGCACCTCAAGTAAGAACTTAAAAGTTTCACCACTGAAGCATTCCAACTACAGCAAGCTTCTATTGATATTAACAGTAACACAGCTGTGATCAAACTAGCTAAGAAAACGATGTAGGTTTTAATTGTCGACCAGCCAACACAAAATGGAAACAGATCAGCATAAACAAAACAGAGCTAGCTAAGACCATTCTTATGCTCCTCTTCCAGATTCATAAGAAACGATCTGTCTTCTCCCAGATCTTCCGTAAGAGACACGTTACACAGCACACTGTTTACAGTTGAAGAGAAGTCTGACTTTCTAAAAATGGAAAACCACATCTGACTGCAATTACAACAGAGCCAAAAGCAGGACAAGAAAGGTCAACTTGACAACTCCCACTCAGCACCAAATATAAGTCGAAAACTTCACTATGAATCAGCAATGCATGGTACAAAAATTTCCTATATCTAGCAGACGTTAAAATTCTGGCACTTAATCATGAATTCAAGCCTTTCATCAATGTCAAAACTGCAACTCATAACAAGTTGAACGTAGCTTTTGCGCGTACTCTTAGGTTTTGATTACTCGAGGCTTCTTCTTCCTGTGTCCCTTATGGAAGAAATTAGACCTTCAAAAATTTCTACAAGTTATGACACAGGCTACAAGTTATTTTATCGTGATAATCCGAGTTTTAGAGAGAGAGAGAAGAATCATTAGCCAGAGTCATGTTCATTATTCATGATGTCAGGGTGCAAAGGAGTCACACATTTTGAGATGCAGTGCTTGGATAATGACACAAAACATGCAAGAATGAGCTCTTAGTCCGATTATACCTGATCCAGAGCACACCTTGCATCGCATCACATACCATTCGTGATGATGATGAACAGTTAACTACAGAGATACAAAAACAGGACAGTTGCTGAATCAAAATAAAACCACCTCCTTTTTACGACTTGATAGAAATAGAAGCTGGATTTTACCTACTTTTTTTTACCTTTTACTGGCTTAGTGTAATAATCTGCGAGAAGATCACTATCTAAAAGTATTTTAACTCGTAAGTAAGTTAATTTCATAACAGGAACTGATTTAACTAGCTAATTCGACATGCACAGTTCACTGGTACTAGTAACAACCTTTATGGTCTATATTTTGTAGGCTAAATTTCAGCATTTGGTAAAAAGGGAAAGGATTTTGACACTATATATCAAACACAGTGATCAAGAGAATGAAAAAGACAATAGTTATCAGGAAAACGGAACTGCAATGACAAACAGCCAATCCTTTAAAACATTGAAGCAAATACACCAGTGACCAAAAACTAGCCAATACTATGAAGACTGACTCCAACACAGGATCATTAAGAGAGAAAGCTATGATAGAGTGCCTCGCAGAAACTAGACTATGCTAGCTATCCGTTTCTAGAAGATCGGCATACAGAACGATTCAGAAATAAAGGTTGTCAGACATGTTTTACTGTAGGTCTCCGTTACTTCTAAAGCTCTGTTTTCAGAGAGTAAATGCTTCTAAGTATTTGACTCTAGCCTAACAATCACAGACAACTGCCACCCTAACAATCTCGTCACAGACAGACAGCTCCAAAAAATCATACCAAATCTCCTGCAGTAGAAAATCTGTAGATCTTCTGCAGGTATTCCCTCTTCTAAACAAGCAACCACGTCTTTCTACTCTTGACTCACCCAATAAGATAATAGCTCAGAACAACTTGAAGCACCACAACAAATGTGAAACTATTCTCCACAAAGAATGCATAAGTTAAATGAGTTCTTTAAACCATCTTGGCTAGTCAGCGAAGGCCACTAAACCTTAGCAGTATGTATATATAAACCAGGTCAATAACAACAACTTTAACCTAGAGCAAGTTGAGCTTGATCCTAGATAATAATGACCAATGTCCAATCGCAATGATGCAAAGAAGATATTTATGAAACTTAAAACGTATATAACAAAGTCACAATTGATCACAAGTTTTCCAAGTGCAGACTAATATTGAACAGAAGCCGTGCAGTACAAAGTACACATTCAGGCTTCAAGGCCTAAAGAACCGCCCAATTATTGGGTTGAATGTATTCATATTGTAGTCAAGGAGCCAATGTAGTATAACTTCACAATAGTAATACAAACTAAATTGCTGGAGAGTAAACTATCTACAGCAGTAAACAAAAAGCACTTGTACAAAAGAAATGGGGCTGGACAAAAATTAGTTCACATATTCAAGTGGCAGCATCATACTCAACATAAACATAAATTAGAAAGCAAAAAAATAATCAAATTCAATCAGTCAAGATACTCAAACTCATCCTCCCTTAAATGAGCAAGGAACTTGACCGGCCCACTTCGCCCCTCAATATTATCTACCACGAATTCCACCTTATAGGGCAAATTAGCAGAGATCTTCTTTCCTTTGTGCACACCGACATACTGCTTCAAAATCCCAACTTGCCCGTTTAACTCAAACTCAGGAACTTTTGGAACATGATAAACTTTCAATGGCACTTTCACTCGAACTTTAGCTCCAATCTTAGCTTGTGCTTTCACTGCTTCTTCATCATAAACACCATCTTCTGATACTGAATTCGAAGATATCTCTGCCTCGACAGTTGTGGTGGAATCCGAGGAGGATCTAATTGGCCGTGAACATTTCCTCCGCTGGGAATTGATTCCGGATAAAGGGTTGTCCAAAAATGAGATTTTATGAGGAGGGGTGATCAAAGAATTGGTTCTGGAGATGGGAATATTAAGAATTGATGAAGGGTACAAAGATGAGGAAGTCATGATATGGGGTGAAATGGGGTTTTTGTGGAGCTCAGGAATGAATTGATATTTTTGAGGAATTTGTGAGGATTATATACATTTTGTGAGATAAAAACCCAAAAGACTTTTTGGCATTATTGTGTTATCTGGATTAATTAAATGGAGGAGGAGGATTGGGGAACTGGAACAAATTTGACTCTTTATGATTGTGGCTCTTGTGGGATTCGTTGATTGTGTGACACGTGATCGGATAACTGAGAAGAAATAAGAACACGAGGGCAGCAGCTGCCGGATGATGACCAGAAGATTTTGTATACATGACCAAAATAGCCACCCCAATATTGGGAAAATGCAATCAGAACCCAATTTTGCACCCGGGGATTGAGATTTAATAGGGTTCCCAAATGATGCTTGTATGTCGTTTGATTGGTCATGCTCATAAAGACTTGATAATTCGACAAGTTTGGATTAGTAATCGTCAGCTAGCATTTTTTACCCGTGTCATCGCCAACCCCTTCTCTTTCGGCATGGATCGTGCCGAAAGAGATAGATTCCATTGAAAAATTACTTTTTTATAATTCAATTTTTCAAATTTGAATGGATAGTTAGAATTTGTAAAAACGCATAATCTTTATTTCCAAAAAGTTCATGTACATATTAGAGATAGATTCCATTGAAATTGATCATACGATTTACTACGAACACATAGAACTCATGTGTTGAGTAGGATAAATCTCTCCATGATGACTGTAACATGTGTATCATTAACTTAACTATTCGGTGAACGATTATATTATAAAGTTATACACTATAACGTATGTATAATTGACTCAACCATTCAGTAGATGACTACATATATCAATTTTTTGACGTCGAAATCCACCCAATCTTGGGAAAATGTAAACAACACCCAATTTAGCATCCGAAGGGGTTAATAGAGTTTAACTTTAATTGGATAAACATATGTCAAATGATGCTTATATGTCGTTTGATTAGTCATGCTCATGTAAGACTTGATAATTCGACAAGTTTGGATTGAGAATCGACAATATTGTTTACATGCGCCATCGCCAACTCTTTCTCTTTCGACAGTGATCGTGGAAACAACATAATCAATGAAAAATTACTCTTTTGTCTTTTTGAATTTGAATGGATAGTTAGAGTTTATAAAAAAGTATAATCTTTATCTCTAACAATTTCACCTACACAACAAAGATAAGTTTCATTGAAATGTTCCTTCATACGATTTACTAAGAGAAACGTAGAATTCATGTGTTGAGTAAGATAAATTTTTTCAGGCTGATTGTAACATATGTACTATTAACTCAACTATTCGGTTAACGACTATATTATGACGTATGTATGAATCATACATTGTAATGTGTGCACTATTGACTCAACCATTCAATAAATGACTACATATATCAATTTTTCGATGCCGAAATAGCCACCCAATCTTAGAAAATGCAAACAAAACCCAATTTTGCACCTGAGGAGTTAAGATTAATAGGATTTAACTTTAACTGGATAAACATATATTAAATGATTCTTATATGTTGTTTGATTGGTCATGTTCATATAAGACTTGATATTTGACAAGTTTGGATTGGGAGTCCTCACTTTTGTTTCCCTACGCCAATCGCCAATTTCTTCTCTTTCTCCAACGATCGTGGAATCAACGCAATCAAATGAAAAGTTACTCTTGTAATTCAACTTTTTAAATTTGAATGTATAGTTCGAGTTTGTAAAAGGGTATACTCTTTATCTCCAACAATTTCATCTACATATTAGAGATAGGTTCCATTAAAATGTTCCTTCATACGATTTACTAAGGGACATACGTACAGAACTCATGTGTTGAGTGGGATAAATCTTTTCAGAATGATTGTAACATGTAAATCATTAAGTTAACCATTTAGTGAACGACTACATTATAATGTGTGTGTAAGTTATACATTATAATGCGTATATTATTGACCCAACCATTCAATAGATGATTACATACATAAATTTTTCGATACCAAAATAGCAATTCCAATCTTAGAAAAAATGCAAATATAACTCAATTTGACACCCGACTACGTTAAGATTAATAGGGCTCAACCTTAATTAGATAAACATATGTCAAATGATGCATATATATCGTTTGATTGGTCATGCTCATATAAGACTGATACTTTGACAAGTTTGGATTGTGAACGGTTAGTATTGTTTACCCGCATTATCGCCAATTCTTTCTCTTTTGGCAGCGATAATGAAAGCAACATCATAAATCGAGGAAGAAATATGTTATATGTGTATAATGGATTCAATTGAGAATGCCAGAGAAAAAAAGTAAGAAAAGAGAAGGATTAGTAGGTGAGGAAAAGTGAAACATGTATCTTTTCACTTTTCAGAAGTGTATTGGTGTATCACGTAGTACTATTCACTTAGTGTAACGGAGTGCCAATTTTTTATTTTTATTTTTTTGAATTTTAAGACTTCTAGGGAGAAATGGAAGTTTAAAAAACTTCCTATTAAGGGGTGTTAAATTCATTCCCTAAAGTATAAATACAATCATGATTTTTCTAATTCACTAAAATTGAGTTACTTGAAGGTGAAATTCAAACCTCTTACAGATACGGGTTGGTAAGTAACAACTATTTCTTCTTCTTTTTTGTATTTATTTTTATTTTTTATTTTTGCTTAAATTTAATATCAAAATTTACGGCTTTTGATCTATCTTTTTTTTTTTGAAAGAAAAATGAATTTTATTCAATCAATGGAAAAACGTCCAGTACAATTTGAAATACAAATTGGGGAATAGAGTCCCAAATATTTCTCAATGCCACATTTACGCTTAGTAAATTGAGCTAGAGAATGAGCAAAAACATTAAAACGTTGGCTCACCCAACAACAATCAAAATCAGCTATTTCTTCAAACCGGCTTTAACATCAGAGAGGATCAAATTCGCATCCGAGAGGTCGCTTTCATCTGATTGCAAACGGGCTATGACTGTCGAGAAATCTCCTACTAGCGTGAAACGCGTAATACCCTTTTTCAGAGCCAAGGAAACTGCATCTCTAGCTGCCATACTTTCAATTATTGCAGAAGAGAAGATCCCTATGTAGCTTTTGGCCATGCAACCAATAAAACCAGAATTGGAGTTCCATACAAGTATTCCAACTGCTGAACAATTCAGCTCTTTGTTTATTGCTCCATCAAACCAAATTGAAAAGCCATGCTGACGAAGCTTGGTTTTACATCACCGGCTTGATAGTGGAACTTCGGCTAAGGTTTCCTGCAAAAGAGGGTCTCGGGAGTCTCCCGAGGGTAGACACTCCGATGCTTAAGTCAGGAATTAGAGAATGTATGAAAGTAGTATTGTGTGCTAGAGATAGCGTACCCGTATTATGGTATGATTAACCCTATTTATAAGCATGAAAGCACCTGGGAGATATTCGAGTCTTATAGGTTTAGTCTTGCTCAAACCGCTCTAGTAAAGTCGGTTGAACTCTGGACTCGGTTGATGGGCCGGTCCAATATTGGTGATGGATATGGACTCGTCAAGTGTCCCTGTCAAGTGTTAGTTGTATGACATATACAAGACTTGGCATATAATAAATGTTACCTGGACTTGGCCCCCAGTGAATTTGGACAAATCAGAACCTAAGGCCCACAAACAAGATCAGGTTGGAAAACTTCTCGTGGGTTGGAATTCGACCCGTGGGGGTAACCCGCTTCAAATTCCCGCCCAGGCCACTAAGTCGTGTGCCTTTAGAGTGCGCGTTCCCCAAACGGCGGCCAATATAATTATAACTGACTCGATACGCGCTGTAACGGTAGAGACGTGGGGGAATTTGACCTTGGCCGATTTTCAGAATAGCTTCAAAATTCTCACTTCACTTTGCTTGTTCTCCCAAAATTCTTTACCCAAAAATTCTCCCACAGTTTCACTTTGTTATTGTCACCGGAGTTTCGAACTTCAGTGACACCTTCGTCGACGAAACTACTGCTGTTGGAAGAAGTTAAATCGAGACAACAATCCAGAGGTTTGCTGAACCCCTTGGCTGCCCCTGCATAGTCACCGTTGCTTTTATATCATTTGTAGGACTCGCCGGAGATTACCACCATCCTTGGAGGTTACAACTCGAAAGGCGAGTGCTCTTTTCCAATAGTAAGTCTTTCCAACTCATCCCTACTTTCCAATTTCTTTAGAATTCCAGTTCTGATTTAGATCTAAAATACTGTGGTAGACATGGCTAGGAACCCAGATTTAAAAACTATTGATGACTTTGCTTCCACCATAGATTCCGATGAGAAAGTAAAAGGTGTAAAAATGAGATATAACCTGCCCCTAGATCTAGAAGCTAGAGCCCCACTAGGAACCGAGAGAGCTAATTCTCTGCCTGAGGGAAGAATCACTGTGTATGACCTCTTTATGCATCTAGGGCTAAGATTCCCCCTCTTCTCTCTATTCGAGTAGATTGTCCAACATTATAAAACCTCTCTTGCTTGTTTTACACCGAATTTGATAACCTTTGTTCTCGGGTTCACAAAAATATGTCACGAGTGAAAGTAAAGCCCCAACTAATTCTATGGAGATACCTCTTCTAAGTTGTCGTTCTCTCGACATCATTCCAAGATTGGTATATTGTCAAGAGACGCCTTAGACCTGGCGTCAAGAAGATGGTCGAGGTATATGGTGGTTCACTTGAATGGAAGCCTGAATACCTTTTTGTGAAGGCGTCGGAAAAGTATTGCGTTGCTTGGAACCATCGAGAAGTAGGTCTCGGGATGATAAAGGATGAGTGGACAAGGAGGATGACGATAGCGTCAAGGAGCTCGACGACGATTTGAAGAAAATCTTGAAGTACTCCAAGCTTGTTAAATGTAGTGACATGCAGTATTACGTTCCCCCTGTTCCTGTCGAGAAAGAAAAAGATACCAATATCCCTGTCGAGGAGGGGAATGATACTAACACTCTGGTCGAGGGAAAAAAAGGTGCTAATTTCCTTTATTTCTTTTCTAGTGTTTAAGTCATGTCGTCGAGCAATGTTGATTCTCGACTTTATGGTGACGAAGACCCCTTTCCTATTGTGAATTTAGATGAGGAGGTCTCGGTTACTGCAGTTGTTGGTCAGAAGAAGAAGAAGAAGAAGAAGAAGAAGAAGAAGAAGAAGAAGAAGAGAATTGTAAAAGGCCTGGAGAAGGAGAAGAGCAAGAAAGCTAAGACTGACGTGCCCGCAAAGGAGTCCACTGCACAGGGAGAAAAGACGGTTTCCCCAGCCATCGAGAAGGTCCATGTTCCTCCATTGGAATCCGGACCAAGCAAGACGCCACCTGTCACAGACAGGCAAAAACCCTCTCGAGGGAGAGGCAGTTGTTTTGCCCCCTCATATGTTCGAGGGAGGACCAACTGTGGCAGTCCATACAT